ACAAGCTGTATCCCATAAAAAAACTAATAAACTTGGGTCTTTATTGTGGGATTCTAAAAAGTGTTGTTGTTAAACACTATGATCCATATAATCCTGTCCCATCTCACCTTATTAGATCTCTCTCCACTTGTCTCGTGCCTTCCTTAACGCACATCTTCAACTGCTCTCTCTTCTGGCATTGTCCCTGCTGACCTTAAACATGCCATCTCTTGACCCGTCCTCCCCCTCTAACTATCGTCCTATCTCCCAGCTCCCTTTTTCCTCACAGCTTCTGGAAAGACTTGTCTTTGCCCTTGTGTCTCATTTCCTCAATTCCAACTCTCTTCTTGACCCTCTTCAATCTGGCTTCCGCCCTCTCCATTCTACTGTGACTGCACTTATCAAAGTTACTAACGACCTAATCACAGCTAAATCCAAAGGCCACTACTCCATACTAATTCTTCTTGACCTCTCTGCTGCCTTTGACACAGTTGATCATGCTCTCCTTCTTCAAACTCTTCAATCACTCGGTCTCTGTGACTCTGTTCTCTCGTGGTTTTCCTCTTATCTCTCCCAACGCTCATTCAATGTCTCCTTTTCTAATGACACCTCCTCCCCTCGTCCTGTCTCGGTTGGATTCCCCCAAGGCTCTGTCCTTGGTCCCCTTCTATTTTCTCTTTATACTGCCTCTCTTGGCAAACTTATTACCTCTTTTGGATTCCACTACCACCTGTACGCTGATGACACCCAGATATATCTCTCCTCCCCGGACCTCTCTCCTGCCGTACTCCAACATGTCACTGCTTGCCTTTCTTCCATCTCTGACTGGATGTCCTCCCGCTTTCTGAAACTCAATCTCTCTAAAACATTCCTCCTTCTAATACTGATCCTCCTCTTTCGCTCTCCCTTCAAGTTAGTGGTACCCACATAAGTCCATCCATGCAAGCGCGCTGTCTTGGTGTCATACTTGATTCTGGCCTCACCTTTGAGCCTCACATCCAGTATGTTGCCAAATCCTGTAGATTCCATCTTAAAAACATAGCCCGCATCCGCCCCTTTCTTACGCAAGATGCTACCAAGGAGCTTGTCCATGCTCTAGTAATTTCCCACATGGATTATTGTAACCCTCTCCTGATTGGTCTTCCCAAAAGCCGTACTGCACCGCTACAGTCCATAATGAACGCTGCTGCCAGACTGATTTTCCTCTCTAGTCGGTTCTCTCACACCTCACCCCTCTGTCAGGCCTTACATTGGCTTCCTGTATGCTATAGGAGTCAATTCAAGGTACTAATTCACACCTATAAAGCACTGAACAACTCTAGCCCCTCTTATATCTCTTCACAGATCCATAGGTATGCCCCTTCTCGGTCTCTCTGCTCTGCCCGTGACCACCTCCTGTCCGTTGTTCGCACCCGTACGGCCAACTCACGCTTGAAGGACTTCTCGTGGGCGGCTCCCTTCCTATGAAATAGCCGGCGTACCACCATCAGACTCTCCCCTAGTCTTGCATCTTTTAAAAAGTGCCTTAAAACCCATATCTTTAGGAAAGCTTATGGCCTCCAGGAAAACCTGTACCTCACATACCTGTCTCTTGCGCTTTCCTAAAGGGCAGCATTCTACTCTCTCCTCCAGCTCTGCTTTACTCCCACCCTATTTGATATTTCCTGTCCTATTGTGTTTTACACTCCACCTCCTATAGAATGTAAGCTCGTTTGAGCAGTGTCCTCTCCAACCTATCGTTCCTGTAAGTTTTTTGTAATTGTCTTATTAATAGTTAAATCCCCTCTCATAAAATTGTAAAGCGCTATGGAATCTGTTGGCGCTATATTGATGAAAATAATAATAATAATAATAACAACCTCTTTTTATATTGTATATATGTACCAGTATTCTCGTTTTCAGGCATCTTGCAGTCTTGCCTTCAGATTGATACCCACATGGGCACATGAGAATATATATCACTTTTTTAGAATTACAGTTAATAAATTAATTAATTTTATAGTTTGTTCCACTGACCGTAGATGTAAATGATTACTTTTTATGTTTCACTCTGGGTGTAGTGCAGCCCATGTAGTTTCCACAATAAAAAAATCCTTTGTTTAATTTCTTAAAATCACCTAAAAAAATCCTTTCTTTCCTTTTCTATATAATAATATAACTTGTCGTTACAATTTGTTTTATATTTTGAGCTCCCCTGTATACTATTTTCGGTCTTTCACCTATCTATTGTGCAATATCTTCATCCTGAGATAAAATATGCAATTTATTTCTAAAAAATATTTCTAAAAAAATTCTAAAAACTTTTTAAGGTATTAGAGTCACTATTAATATCCAAAATTGACCAATTTTAGGTCTTTGTTTATAATCCAGTTGTAGCTCTCTCTCATATCCATACACTTGCTTAATTTGTTAATCTATGTCTGGTTCGGAGTACCCCTTTTCTAAAACCTGTTTCTTTAAAATTTCTGATTGCATGGAATATTTCTCTATTTCGTTACAATTCCTTCACAACCTCAGAAACTGTCCGATTGGAACATTAGAGAGCCATGGATGGAAATGACAACTCCTCATGTCTATGAAACTATAGACATCTACTTGTTTAAGGTGCGTGCAGATTTTAATCTGTTTTCCTTCTATGTAGATGTCAAGATCTAAAATATTGGGGGCTGGCTGCACTCACCTGAATATGCATAAATAGGGTGCTGCTGGGAGCCAATTTATAGTATAAAAAAAAAAATTCAGCGCCCTCCATTATCCCATAAAAAGCAACTTCACTGCTGACAGATTTAGTTAGTTTTTTTCAAAACACCTAATCCAGGCAAAGAATAATAGGGGTTTAGTTACATTATATGATAATACATCGCATAAGCCTGCCACAACGTCAATGTACCCCAAATCTTTGAAAACTTACTTCTTCAGGAAACTGTCAAAAGCTTTCCCTCCCCGCACCCGCATTCCTCTCCTGCAACTCTCATCAAAACAAAATACTAAGCCCACAGTTAACCCTTAAGTACTGAGCCAAATGTACACGTTGTGAAATCTAAACAAAATGTAAACAAACCTGGCATTTAAGCGCTACATGTCTGTCCAACCTGTAATTCACCTTATTTCATAGTAAATGCCACAATTCACCCTTATTATATATCATTTTTATTCTAGAAACAGGCTTTCATTTAATATCAAATATTTAGATTTGTAATTTAATATGAAAAAAATGGGAGAAAATAAGTTTTTTTTGGATTTTTTTAGTTCTACATGACATTTTAACGGTCAATGTCATAATACTGTTTGCTTTTACTGCAATAAAATACACATATTTATATTCAGTAAAGTCTCACGTGTAAGACAGTACCCCCTATGTATAGGTTTTATGGCGTTTTGGGAAGTTACAGGGTCAAATATAGCAGGTTACATTTGAAATTGAAATTTGCCAGATTGGTTACGCTGCCTTTGAGACTGTATAGTAGCCCGGGAATGAAATTTACACCCATAATGGCATACCATTTGCAATAGTAGACAACCCAAGGTATTGCAAATGGGGTATGTCCAGTCTTTTTTAGTAGCCATTTGGTCACAAACACTGGCCAAAGTTAGCGTTAGTATTTGTTTGTGTGTGAGAAATGCAAAAAACGCCAATCTTGGCCAGTGTTTGTGACTCAAGGGCTACAGTGTGAGCCCTGACATACCCCGCTTGCAATACCTTGGGTTGTCTACTATTGCAAATGGTATGGCCATCATAGGGTAATTTTCATTCTCGGCTACCATAGGGTCTCAAAGGCAACGTAACCAATCTGGCGAATTTTAATGTGAAAAAAATGAAACACAAGCCTTATATTTGACGCTGTAATTTTTGAAAACACCATAAAACCTGTACATGAGGGGTACTGTTGGGAGACTTCGCTGAACACAAATATTTGTGTTTCAAAACAGTAAAAAGTATCACAGCAATAATATTGTCCGTGTAATGCTGTTTGTGCGTGAAAAATGCAAAAACGTCACTTTTACTGGCGATATCATCGTTGTAATACATTTTACTGTTTTGAAACACTAATATTTGTGTTCAGCGAAGTCTCCCGAGTAGAACAGTACCTCCCATGTACAGGTTTTATGGTGTCTCGGAAAGTTATAGGGTTAAATATAGTGCTAGCAAATTAAATTCCCTTTACTTTCGGCATGGGTTGACAGGCAGGTCCCGCTAATTGTAATTAATTAAGATACCTAATTATGTAAAAATATTACATAAATATATATATAGAATTAATATATGTATATATATATATATATATATATATATATATATATATATATACACACACACACACACACACACACACACGTGAATCTATGTGTATATCTATATAATTTTTTAAAAATATTTTTATTTATATATAGGTATATATATGTATATATTTCGTTCTACGTGTATTTTGATATAAATATCTATATTAATATCACAATACAGTTAGAATGAAATAACACATCTATATATTTTTTAATGAATTTTTTTAAATTATTTTTTTTATTTTATTTTTTAATGTATTTACATATTTAATTTTTTTATAATATATATATATATATATATATATATATATATATAATTATATATATAATTATATATATTTAACCAGTATCAGTCTACGTGTAATTTGATATTAATATATATATATATATTTATTAATAGTAAAATACACCTAGACGGTGTACATACATACATATATATATATATATATATATATATAAACACACACACACATATATATATATATATATATATATATATATATATATATATATATATATATATGTGTTTATATATATATATATATATATATATATATATATATATATATATTTAGATCATATGTGTTAAGGCCGTTTGGCCTGTATTTGTGGGAGGGGCTTAAGTTAACTTACTCCCCTATATAAACTACACCTCTTACCTGACTCCTTACCGATCAAGGTCAGCGTCTGAATGCACTTCCGGTTCATCCAGGCACCATTTTTGAATTCTTCCGTCTTCCCTCAAGGTCGTCCACGCTGAAACTGCAGCAGGTTTCCGTCCGACCAGTCTCTAAAGCGCTGTTCGTCGCCGCAGATTACATCCTAGGCACTCGCCGAACGTAAGTTACCCACCCATTCCGCCTGGCAACAGTCCCACGACGTCGGCAACGGGTGGGTACACACTGTACAGGCATGCTTCGGTTAAACTTACTAATCACTTTCCCGGCGGGCTTACTTAAGCATACTCATTCCGGTTTAAACACCTCGCACGCTCAAGCAGTTATATATGTTTCATACCGCTACCCACATTCATACATAAAGCAGGTTGCCCGACGGGCATTAACAATACCATACAGCCACATATCACTCTCGCACCATCATATAGCTAAAACATATAAATAAACTGCGCCTCACATAACGGGATATCGTTTACCGCTGTGAGAATGTAGGTCACAGACCGCCGTTACACACCATTATCAGCGGCTATATCAAATTCTCCGAGAACTACATTTCCCATCATTCCTCCAACATTGTATCTATGACGCCCAGGCACATCCTACTTGCATCTCATTTAAACACACGCCGACAAGCGCCAATTACATTTCTAAGGGGGATTAACCCCAGTCACGCCGGTCACGTGGTTTCCAATTTTTCCATTGTATCCATATTACATGTTTATACCGGCCACTCAATTGCATTACTTTGTTGAGGCATTCCAAGTATTATCACACGTTACGTTTTCCTGCACATATGATCACTAGAAATCTCTTCCGCATAGGTTGCATTACGACAGTCCCACCTACAGGTCATGCCACATAACTACGTCTATATACATACCATTATATAGATAATTGAAAATTGTTCCATACTTACCGTAATTTTCTTTTCCTGATAATTATTCATGGCAGCATTTACTCATGGGTTAGCTCCTCCCCTTACAGCAGAAAGGACAGGAAACAGAACTCTGAAACTGGTATAAATAGATCCTCCCCCTACCCATCAGGCAGTCTTTGTAACTAGCTTCACAACTCCTATAGTATATGGGTGGGAACGTAATGCTGCCATGAATAATTATCAGGAAAAGAAAATTACGGTAAGTATGGAACAATTTTCAATTTTCCTGACCATTATTCATGGCAGCATTTACTCATGGGGAATACCCAAGCAATATATATAGAGGGAGGGACAGAGTTCAAAAACAGCTAATAGCTATAAAACCATTATTGAGCTGTATAAATCTTAGAAGACTTTACAAAGCCAAACAAGAATAAATATGAAATTGTCATAAAATCTAGCTCAGACAAGATAATTTTCCATAGAGGCTGCAAGGTCAGCAACCTCCTGGCATTCAATATCTGAAATATCCTGAATAAATATAGAATTAAATATAGAATTAAGGCCACGATAGCATAAGCTAGAGAAGGAAAATGTCATTCTGGTATAAAAATTTAAAACCAAATTGATATCAATAAATCAGAACCTTGACGAAGGCATAACTTCCAGAGATCATACTGGAACAAGCAGATAATGTTGGATGAGAACGGACACACCATGCTATTAAACACGGGGAGAATTACACTGAGAATCCTACTACTTACTGGATGTATTTATTAAATACGATTCACACCGCTTCCTCTTGCCTTGTGAACTACTTACCTGAAGATACAGGAACAAATCAATATCTGCCTGTCAGAAAGAGGCAGAGCCTAGTAGAGAAATAAGGGTTATTAAAACACTGCAACATTGACCCAATGTTGTAAAATTCAGATTCACAACAATACCTCACACAGTGGATGAATTGATACAGCAACGATCAGTCACAGGAGAGGAATAAACTAATCACATTACTAGGCAAAGGCAAGAAGAATCATATACAGATTAGTTGAGGGAAAGAAAAGAAATATCGGTATGAAACATAGAATTTGTGGCAACTACTAAATTATAAGGAGGCCAACCACGTCAGAACCTACATTCAAAGATAAACATATTGTAAATAGTACAGATTATGCCAAACAGTATAATCAAATTTATTAGAGACTGTTGTGCAACATAAGTAAGAGTTATATATAATAGGCAAGATACTGATGGGAAGGTGGTAACCAGAGGCACATTATACATTGTGGCAACAGACACATAATAAGCAGGATAGTATTCAGTTATCCTTATGAGAACAGCAACCGCATACTTACTCTTACCTTATCTTCAGATAGTGATGAAGTACTTATGGCAGAGCCTATGGTGATAATAAACAGCTTGTTATATCTGCAAGATATCAACACCAATCCATACATATAATCCACAAGTATTAAATCAATGCAATGTTAGGAGAGACCATAACTTATACCGATCTAGGTACAGAGACCCTGTAAAACATATCAGTCAAATGTTTGTCATCAACAAGCTGCATTACATTACATTATGCAGGATGAATCATTTAAAGCCACACATTGGTTGCAAATTCCAGATATAAGGACACCTAGAAGAATCCCCATGAATATCAGAAGAGAGGTCCGTAATGGAACTACCTGTTTAGGGATTCCCTCTATTGTTCAGGCAGCCGGTGAATTTTACCTGAAATAGTAAACCTGGTAGAGTGGTCTGGGGACTGGAATGACCTTAAAATACTTGCAATACACAACATCAAAGTTACCTGGAGCATATGAGCCTAAAAGAATACCTTTATTGCAGAAAGGAAATTATAATGTTCCCCTTCACAACAGGGGAATCTGTCAGAAGTTTCTGATCATTAACTCCTTAAGAACTAAAAGCATGCCACCCCTGACATATACTAAAGGTATTGCCAAACTTTCAGGTATCCAAGGGATAAAAGAGAATACTGAATATAAATTTTATGCTTTAAGGAAATTAATTCAGATTTAAAGAATAAAAGGTTAAGACCAGGAGAAAGAAAAAAAAAACAATATTAACAGCTTTTAAATCAGGTAATGGCTTCAGCGTTACCTACTTATGAACTCAATTAATAGCCCAATTTGTGCTCCTGCAACCAGTATGATCTAATAATCTAATAATAATCAGCATTTATCTAAAGGTAAAACACTGCCACCAATTGAAAAAAAAAACATTCCCTATCTCGAGCAGAGGGGAGAGGATGCCTGGCAATAGAAAAACTTTTGTAGATGGGTCTCATGTATAAATGGATACACACAAAAAGAACAAACAATTATGTTAAACATTACCATGCTTCATTTTGGAAAAACAGGTCTCCTCACCTGGGAGCAGGGCCGGACTGGGGATACGAAGCAGCCCTGGAAAAAAATCTATGCCAGCCCCATAAGTCATTGTGCTATGTAGGGTGTATATATATATATACAATTGAAATAGTTGGCTGCACTCTCGGATTTCCTGAAAATGTAACTTTTATTGAAATATTTAAGAGAAGATCAATGTTTCAGTCCCTCTTGTGGACTTTCGTCAGGATCATGACGAAAGTCCACAAGAGGGACTGAAACGTTGATCTTCTCTTAAATATTTCAATAAAAGTTAAATTTTCAGGAAATCCGAGAGTGCAGCCAACTATTTCAATTGCCTATATATTTTATAGACGTGTTAAATAGAGACCCTGTTGAGTTCTGTTTTCAAATATAAGCAATATAGTAAAATACTTAAAAGATAATAGAGTTTTGTAGCCCTGAAATTAAAAGGAATAAGAATTAAGTAATTGATCAACTCCTTCAATGTTCCAAATACAAGGCAATTTACATAGTTGGCTGCACACTCATGCTTACTACAGACAAGCTCACTGTACACACATGCTCCGACACACCCATGCTCCTTACAGACAAGCTCACTAACACATATGATCCCTACAGACAAGCTCACTGACACACATACAAGCTCACTCACTAGCAGGCATACACACACACACACACAAACTCACTAGCAGGCACACACACACACAGGCTACCTCACTAGCAGATGAGCGCACACACACACAGAGGCAGACAGTCACTGACACCCAGGCAGACAGCCACACACACACACAGGCAGACAGTCATTGACACCGAGGCAAACACCCACACATACAAAGACAGGCAGACAGCCACACACATACACAGACAGACAGCCACACACTCACACACAGGCAGACAGTCTCTCACACACACACGCAGTCACACACAGGCAGACAGTCACACACTCACAGTCACACACTCAGAGGCAGTCACAGACAGACAGTCACACACTCACAGTCACACACTCACAGTCACACACTCAGAGGCAGTCACAGACAGACAGTCACACACTCACACAGGCAGTCACACAGACAGTCACACACTCACACAGTCACACACACACTGGCAGTCACACAGAGACAGTCACACACTCACAGGCAGTCACACACTCACAGACAGTCACACGCAGGCAGTCACTCACTCACACAGACAGTCACAGTCACACACTCACACAGACAGTCACACACTCACACAGACAGAGACAGTCACACACTCACACAGTCAGTCACACACTCACACAGACAGTCACAGTCACACACTCACACAGACAGTCACACACTCACACAGACAGTCAGTCACACACTCACACAGAGACAGTCACAGTCACACACACAGACAGTCACACACTCACACAGACAGTCACACACTCACACACACACACAGTCACACAGACAGTCACACACTCACACAGACACACACACACACTCACACAGAGACAGTCACACACACACACTGACCTGTTTCTTCCCTCCTGCTTGGAGCTCCTGGACAGGGCCGGACTGGCCCACCGGGATGCCGGACAGTCACAGTCACACACTCACACAGACAGTCACAGTCACACACTCACACAGAGACAGTCACACACTCACACAGACAGTCACAGTCACACACTCACACAGAGACAGTCACAGTCACACACTCACACAGAGACAGTCACAGTCACACAGAGACAGTCACACACTCACACAGACAGTCACAGTCACACACTCACACAGAGACAGTCACAGTCACACACTCACACAGTCACACACTCACACAGAGACAGTCAGTCACACACTCACACAGACAGTCACACACTCACACAGAGACACAGACAGTCACACACTCACACAGACACACACTCACACAGAGACAGTCACACACTCACACAGACACACACTCACACAGAGACAGTCACAGTCACACACTCACACAGAGACAGTCACAGTCACACACTCACACAGAGACAGTCACACACTCACACAGACAGTCA